TATATATATATATATAACAACAGATGGATGACAACATGAGTCTGTCCACCCTATATGTACTAATTCGACCTAGATGGATTTGAGCCCGGGAGAGCGGCGGCTTATGCTCGGATATATACTAGTTATTTATCAAACTGTCATCCAACAGACCTCCGGTTGTGCACATAGTATGTGTGTGTGTGTGTGTGTTATACATAATTGTTTTAAAAAAAACAATAGATACATTATGTTGGCTTTCTTATAGTAGTAAGCTCGGATGCTTACAATTCTTGCTTTAGTTTGATTGATTCAGATTCATATCATCCGATCATTTTTTTTTTTGTCCTTCTCATGGCTCGGTCGGTCTTCAACCTTGGCTCAAATAGCTACCTCATATCCGATAAGTAAGCCTCCTGGTCTTCTATCGGTTGGTGCTCTTTTTTCATACTTCTTCTCTCATGAATCGTTGAATCTTCTCAGGATTCGTGATCACAACTTTTCGAAGTACACAATTTAAAATATAAGACAAAATTAAAAACTCCTAATAATAATAATAATAATAAAATCCTTTCAAATTTGTGTTGTCATAATTGACCTTGCAAAGCTATTTTCATTGGCCCAAATGACACTTTTTTTAAAAAAAATTAATCAAGATCATTTATGGTCCACCTGAAACTTTTGTAATCAATCAAAAGAAAGATAATGTCAAAAGTAAGATAAAGAGAAGGCACGCCAAAGGAAGGAAGAAGACAAAGTATGGTAAGGACGACATTTTGATGATAAAATCTTAGTTCAGCATTATATTTATTTAATAAAATTTATTTCAAAATTAGAAATTTTTTTTTATTTTAACATATAAAATGAAAAAAATGAATAAATGTGTCTATTTTTTATATTTTAAAAAAAAATATTATTGGAGTCATTATGGGAAGTCAAGCTCGTTCATATCGAACTCCACAGTCAGGTGGGTCCCGCGAGCCGGTAAAACAGACTCCTCATTGTCGCCCGTTCGATTCTGATCTGACGGTTGAAATCAAAGCAGATGAGCTCCCAAACCTTCCGCCTCGCTCTCCACGGCGATTAGTTAGCAAATTTAAGAAAATGCGAGGACTGCTTTGTTAAATTACTTCATCGCTCAAAAGTGACGGTTCGCCGTTCTGCTTTACTCACTCCGCTCTCGACTTTAATGGCGGATTCGAGCATCCTTTCAACTCTTTCAAAAACCCTGCCCTGCTTCGAGATTCTCGCTCGGGCCTTGATCTAGCTTCGTTTTCTGCGAGAGCTTAGCTATACGGCTCTGGACTTTTAAACCTAATGCCATAAGTATTCGAATCTGGAGAACAATTTTCTGCTATATTTCAGATTCGCGCCTCTTATCTCTGTCTGTAAGTTAATTTTGCCTTTTCTCTCTTCATCTTTTTTCTTACTTAATTAATCTCAGTGGAATGTAGCTTTCTTCTCGTTTTGTTGTTTATTATTGAGGCCTATCTTTTTAGCCTCATTCAGGTTTTATGAAAAAGTCGTTTTCGCTTTCTTTGCTTGATCCCTTTCTGTAACTTTTTTTTGTTCTTGTTTTCACTACAATGGCGGAAAAGAAGAACAAGCACTGTGTTTGTTCTTGCTTATAGAAGATCAGAAGAGCTCTTACCAGTTAAGACATGTAATTCACATGATAAGCCTTTTTGAAGAATTTTTTGAATTTGACATGCTTGTTCAGAAGTTGATGGGTGGGCGTCCATGGCTTCACTGAATTAGGTGTGGTGCTTTGAATGCGTTGCTCTAAAGAAGAGAAATTTGTTGAGAATATGGAATGATTGTGGTCATTTCTGTCTGTGTATGAATTATTTTTTTAGAAGTAGGTGAGGCCAACTTGATGGAACCTAGTACTGTAATATTTTCAACTAATTTTTATATTTGCTCTTAATTATTTGCCTTAGCTTTAGCCTTTTTCTTTTTTCCCTTTTTTTTTTAACTTATGTTTTCTTATCTTTTCTTGTCTTTTTTTTTTTTTTTTTCCTTTTCTTTTTCAACTTTGTAATTTTGCTTGATTTTCTTTTTCTTTTGGAATGCTTTTGGGTTATGCTGCTTTATTTGGTTCTGATTGTAGTCTTTTTGACCTTTCCCCTTGCAGAATTCTTTGGAACATTAAGGTAAAGTTTTGATTGGAGGAATTGGAGGGAATGAACATGCATTTTGCCCACAATTTTATTGTAGCTATTTGGTTCCAATGCATTTAATATGTCCTTGGATTTACCTAAGAATTGTTATTAAATACTAGTTTTCATGATAGTTCTCTACGTATTTCTAGGAACAATTGGAAGAAAATTTTATGAGTTCGTCATTATTTCAATATATATATACATATATATGTGGAAATTTACATATGTACCACACTGTTGTATTCTAACTTATCTGTGAACCACGCCCCAATGAATATAGCGTAGGAAATGAGAGAGAGAGAGAGAGATAGCAAGAGAAGTGAATAATAAATCCGATCAATCATGTTGACCTTTTTCCGATCTTTTAGCTAAAATTGGGTGTATCTACCATCTTTTGTACATGAAATGATCTCTCAATTTAAAACGGAGAAAGTATAATATGGTGATGTTACATCTGGCTGTCGACCCTTGAAGGTAGACGGGAGAGCTTTTGGATACCCCCAATATGATTGGAGATGTCGAGGGAGTAGATCTTGTTATATTTTGCCCATGTTTTAACGGAGCTTGTACAAGATATTCTAAGTATTTTACAGGTATAAGTCTATTGCTCAACTGCTCTCTGGCTTGTTCGGCTGGGTTATATGGCTTCAACTCGACAAGATCAGTTTGATAAACTAGGCTAGTATGTGCTATGGTTGGCTAAGCTCGATTGACTTTAGGTCAATAAGACTAGTTTGGTTGGTTGGGTTTGTCTGGCTGTCGATCCTTGATAGTTGGAGAGGGATCTTCTGGACACCTCTGGAATGATTGGAGATACTGGGGGGCTAGATCTTCCTTCGAGTCAGCTTCCTCGACATTTTGGTTGGGTCAGATGTCTCTTTGTCTTGTTTCCAACTGGACAACTTGGATTCAGGTCATTCAATCCTCTTTTGTGGCTTAGTCCACTTTGGTCTTGCTTGCTTTTGTTCGGACAGCTGCACTTGGTCGGGTAAGTAGATCTAATGGTCTTATGTTGGCGGGCCCTCTTTTGTTCTTCTCTTCTCTTTTGAATCGTCAGATCTCCTCAAGATCAATATTCACATATTTTTTATGTACATATTTTATTATATGACTCTCTTATTTCTTAAAAAACAATGTTGCGATAAGAATAAAAGAATTTAATACAAAAATAGATAATATTTATTCTTAATTCAATGATTCAATAATTGAACTTGATTTTCATGTCTTTTGTTCTTTTAAATAAGACATGACTAGACTCTAGCATTCCATATTTGCTTTGCATCTTTTCTCATCTGAATAAGTTGAAACCCAAGCGTTGTAATAGAGAACGTGTCGAATCCTTTGCTCGAAGTCCCCAACAAAGAACTCTTTCGTGTTGCCTTTTGGAAATTGGGGCGGTATTGCCCGAAAGGTGAAAAAAAGAAGAAAAATATTGTTTAAAAAAATAAAAGTGGTTGTGTTGTCAAATCAGGTGGGTCGTCTGATTTGTTGCTTGGTCCTCAACGGAGAAACGTTTGAACGTTTGACCAGACCATCGATCCGTCGACTCAAACTTCAACTACAAGACAATATATGACGACTAAACAAACCTTACAAGGAGCTGTTGGTGCTTTGTTGTTGCCAAGGTCACAAGAAGTTGCTGGTGTTTTGTTGCTGCCAGGGGCATAAGAAGCTGCTAGTGCCTTGCAGCCACCCGGTGAGGGTGCCGTGTCAATTGCATCGTCTGAATTGGATCGACTCCTTAGTATGAGGAGCTTCGATTTTACTTATTATGTTTTGATTTTTTTCTCGGTCTTTTTTTTCTTATGTGGTCTTTTAATAAACCAACGATATGCTTATACATGTAGAATTTACATGTAGCGCATCTCATATGACATCCAACATTTGATATTTCAACTCCTAGATGTGCTAGTTTAGTGAACTCCATGCACCGGTGTCTTTTTCAAGTTTTTTCTCCGCGGGTTGCTCTTCTTCTTGCCTGTGTCATGATCAACGCTCACCGTATCTTTTAGGATATTGAGTCTTGACTTGCCTGTGAATCACACCCATAGGAATTGAGCGTAAGAAAGGAGAGAGAGACAAAGCGAGGAGTGAACAATGATGAACAATAAATTGTATTAATAATGTTAATCTTTCCCGACCTTTTTGGCTAAAATCGTGTACATCTGTTCTCTTGTGTGCATTAAATGATCTTTCTATTTATAGGGAAGAGTGTACAATATGGTGATGTTATATTTTTGTTCTTAATTTAATGAGGATTATACATAATATTCTAGGTATTTTACAGGTATGAAGCTATTGCTCTGCTTCTTTCTGGCTAGTTCGACTAAGTTATACGACTTCGACTCGGCAGGATGGGTTCGATTGTTTGGGCTTAGTTGGTGTTATTGGTCGACTGAGCTTGATTGACTTCAGGTTGGCAGGACTGGTTCAGTTGGCTGAGTTAGTATGGTTGTCGACCCTTGATGGTAGAAGAGGGAGCTTCCGGACACCCCCGACATGATTGAGGATGTTGAGGGCTAGATCTTACCTTGAGTGAGCTCTTTATGGCTCAAATATCATTTTTTTTCTCATTTCTGACCGAACGGCTCAAATTCTAGTCATTTGATCATCTTTCGTGGCTAGATCGGCTTTATCCTTGCTTGTTTTGGCTCAAATTGTTACAGTCGGTCAGATAAGTGAGTCTCTTGATCTTCTGTCGGTGGGTTCTCTTTTGTCTTACTCTACTCTTCTGAATTGTTAGATCTCCTCAGGATACACATTAACACATTTTCAATGCACACACACAATTATCATGTCTTTAATCAACCGAATATTTTTTTTAAAGATTTTGTTTAGTCAATCAAATATATCACCCAAGCTTGGCATTGCGGCTGGACGAACCGTTGTACTTTCTCGAGCGCCCACTAGAGTAAACATCAACTATTAAAGCCATTGTCTTTATATTTTTCTCAAGTGGAGTCTTGATCTAAAAAGCATTAATGGCTTCGCCTCCTTCCTCCTCCTCCTAACTACTTTTGACGCTTATAAATGAACAGGACTTGGTCTCAACTATAATTCTGTGGTCCATGACAACGTAAGGATAGCTATAGACCGATAATGAGTGCAATATATCTACTCTACCCACAGCAATCGGTCTCAGTTTAAGTTACGAGAAGGAAGAGAATCTCGTCTCGTCTCTGTACTGTTACTTGTGCGAAACCAGCGGTGGAGCTTTCTCTCTTCTTTGGAAAACTACCAAAAGTGTTACTTTATCCATTTCATGGCCAGCAGCATAGTTGGTGATTTTTTTTTCCGGTCAGGTGGAATCCCATTTTGTCGAAGGTGGTGTTCTTTGTGTCTGACGCTGTAATGAAATATTAGTCCCCTTTCATTAAGATCGGCTTTGTTATCTTCTCATTTAGAGCATCTTCTCTGCTTTTCTCTTGAAATATTACTCCCCTTTCATAAAACGGCTCTGCTTGCTTCAATTTGTTAGCTTATGTGTTAAATTTTGTTTAAACAGCTGAGGGAGGGAGATTCTGTGGCATCGCATGCAGAAAAAACTCTCTTTGAAGTTCTTCCAGAGAAGTTCAGGAGAGCAGTAGCAGTCATGGATCCCCTCAACCTCAGAAGCAGCCAATTTGTGTGGCTTACTTATTCTGCTTTCCTCTTCCTCTGCTTCTCCCGTCAAGCGGCTGCAGACTTGAGCAGCGACAAGGAAGCTCTCCTTAGCTTCTCTACTGCAGTTCGCCATGGCAGGAAGCTCAACTGGAGGCTCGATACGCCAACTTGTTCGTCTTGGATTGGAGTCACATGCACCAAAAACGGAACCAGAGTCGTCGGAGTTAGGCTTCCTGGAATTGGTCTTATAGGAGACATCCCTTCCAATTCTCTCGGAAAGCTTGAAGCTTTGCAAGTCTTAAGCCTCCGATCCAACGAACTCACCGGCAAACTCCCACCAGACATATCCTCCCTCCCTTCCCTCCGCTTTCTCTACCTCCAACACAATAATTTCTCAGGAAATCTACCAGATTCATTTTCTCCCACGCTCAACTCTCTCGACCTCTCCTTCAATCTCTTCTCCGGCGAAATTCCGGCCGCCATCTGGAATTTATCTCAGCTTGCATCGCTGAATCTCGGGAACAACATTCTCTCAGGACCTATCCCTGATCTCAATCTTCCGAAGCTAAGGCATCTTAACCTTAGCTTCAACAATCTGAATGGCTCTGTACCCTTCTCTCTCCAAACCTTCCCTAATGATTCATTCACCGGAAACCTGCATTTATGCGGCCCTCCCCTACCCCATTGCTCAGCTGTTCTCCCATCATCTCCCTCTCCATCATTTCCCTCATCACCTTTCCCTCTACTCCCCAACGACCACCCCAAAAACTCAAACAAAAAACTAACAATTGGTGTAATAATCGCCATCATCGTCGGAGGATTCGCCTTCGTTTTCCTCCTAGCAATCATTCTACTTATATTCATTTTGAAGCGGGAAGATACAGAATCCAACGAGTTGACGGAGAAGAAGGTGTCGGGCATTGGAAGGAGGGGAGAGAAAGGGGAGGAGTATAGCAGTGGAGTTCAGGAGGCAGAGAGAAAAAAACTGTTTTTTTTCGATAGCTGTTCTTATAACTTCGATCTGGATGATCTTCTGAGAGCTTCTGCTGAGGTTCTGGGGAAGGGGAGTTATGGGACGGCTTATAAGGCGGTTCTGGAGGATGGGACGACGGTGGTGGTGAAGAGGCTGAAGGACGTGGCGGCGGGAAAGAGGGATTTTGAGCAGCAGATGGAGGTCATTGGGAGGGTTGGAAGCCATGCAAATATTCTTCCTTTGAGAGCTTATTATTATGCAAAGGAGGAGAAGCTTTTGGTGTATGAATACGCATCCGGTGGAAACTTATCTGCGCTTCTGCATGGTATGTGGTTTACTTCTGTGAAATTTCAGTTAATTTTGATTTTTGTCTTGGTTTTTTATGGAAGTAAGATTTTTTTTTTTAATTTCTTTCTGATTGAACTGATTGTGGTTTGTTTAGATTTTTGGTTCTAAATTATAGTTTCCAACAAGCTGCTTGAAACTGGTTAATATATTCATGCTATTTAATTGCATGATGGGAAAAATAATCCAATCATAGGTGCGTTTTATTTCCTGTTTATAATTATGATAAATTAGATGGTTGATGTGGTCTAATGTGAAATTTGCCTATTTTCAGATTGCGTCTTTTATGAAATTTTTTATTTTTTATTTTTATAAAAATTCAATTTTTTTAAGAAAATTTTACTTCCAGATTGCCTCTTGAATGTCTTCTGAATGCAAAACCAAAAAACAGATGAGTTAGATGGATGGATGGAAGACTGGATAATTTAATTTAAATTTTAATAGTATCTGATTCTCTTCCATGTGTCATGCTATGCTTTAGCTATTATTGGAACACATGAATCATCCAAAACTTGATTTTTAGTGGACTGCCGTGCTTATATTATACAAGGTTTAACTTTCAGCATTGGTCAACAAATTTTATTTTTTGTCATGAATCTCGAGTTGATTAACATGAATCGAAACATTCAAACTCAAATTAAAAATCACCCATAATTCCAATTTCAGCAAACTTACAATTAAACTAACCAGCTCGATGAGGAAGACTCGATGACGCCAAAATTGGCCCAATTTGAGTCAAATCACGCTCAGATCAAACTTTGGGTAGCTAATTTGAAGAACAATTAAATTTTAAATCTGATAAACTTTAAATCAAATGTTTCAACAAAACGAATCCAACGAGCCTAAAAGATCACTCTATTAAGACACTCAAGTATCCACAAAATGTCATCCAATCAAAAGAATCTCTTCGGGTCGTATAATGGAATGGTTCGAATTCCTATCTTATTTATTAGGAGGGAGGCCTCCTCCAAACTCAATATATAGAGCCCTATCCTCTTCACGAAAAGGGAGGAAGTGTCAAACCAGGAGACTAAGTCGAATTTCAGTGTGGTTATAGGCGAAGAACCCAATAAGTGTTTTTTGCTCCCACAGCTGACAACCACCTTCAACAACCGTCGTCCGCCCCCTGCTCGTTGCCACGAAGCCCCTTGCAAAGTCATGACGTATGATGTGGAGTAACGAAGCACCCTGCGGAGCAATGCGTCGTCCTAAACACAGTGTAGCAACACATCTCGAATATGGTGCAATGACACACCTCGAAGATGGTGTAACAACACACCCTGAAGACGATGTAACAACATACCTAAAATACGATGCAATGATGCGCCCGCATACAGTGCAATGACACACCTAAAGACGGTTTAACAATGCACCCTAAAAACCGTGTAACAACACACTCTAAATACGGTGCAACAATGTGCCTCGCATACGTTGCAACGACACATCCCAAAGACGATGTAACGACGTACTCCAAAGAAGATGTAAGAACACGCCTTTTAATAACTGCTTACAACAAATATATTCAGAATACAGTGACTTTCTCCGAATTCTTGAAGTTCTCTCATTGCATCTCAGCATTACATCGTGTGTGACCAATTATGACATACATGGTTCACAACTCATGTAGCTCCCAACTCCGGCCGCTGCGGCCTACAAAAGTTATCGCAACACACCATTACAGCATATGTAACCAATAATACGTTATTATAGCTCTCAGCTATGACCATTGACCTATATCACCAACTATAACCTACGCGAATCACAGCTCAAGCAGCTCCTAACTACGGCTTATGTGGTCTACGAACGTTTTCACAACTCACCACTACGACCTATATGATCAACTACTACCTACGTGACTCATAACTCATGTAGCTTCCAATTCCAGCATTTGCGGTCTACATGTGTTAATGCAGCTCTCTACTATAACCTATGTTTAGAAAACCAAACCAAACCAGCCAGTTCGACGACTCGACAGTGAACAGGCCGGTGGTCTGATTCGGGCTGGCTTAAAAAATGCCCCTGCATCGAACCAGATTGATTGAACCGGCTTAGAACCGGCAAAAACCTCCCGGTTTGACAAATCACTCATATCACATAAATTTTATGTAATTTACACATCTAATGCCTAAACTCTATTTTTTACATTTTTACCACCCAAATCACTCATATAACATCAAAAAATCACCATTACAAAGAAATTCAATTTACATAGATGCCACCAAATTTTATTTATTTACATATCTAACACTTAAATTCTATTTTTTTGCATTTATACCACCAAAATCATCCATATCATATAAAATATCATTATTTTAAAAAAGTGAAATACAAGTTTTTCATTCATAGATAAATATGACATGTTAAAATTGAATTTTAGGTGTTAGATATTTAAATACATAGGAATTGAGTGTTATGTAACCAAAATCATCCATATCATATAAAATATCACTATTTTAAAAAAGTGAAATACAAGTTTTTCATTCATAGATAAATATGACATGTTAAAATTGAATTTTAGGTGTTAGATATTTAAATACATAGGAATTGAGTGTTATGTAAATCTTATCTATTGTCATTTTTAAATATATTTTAAATTGCCGTAGGTCATCTAGTTGAATTACGATTCAACCCCGGTTCAACTTTTGAACCTTTAAACTCTCCTACTACCGATTCAATGGCCGGTCCAGTTTTCAGAACCTTGGTTATAATCTATATGACCAACTATAAATTACGTGACTCATAGTTCATGAAACTCGCAACTCCGACATTTACAGCCTACGAATGATATCACGGCTCCCAATTGAGGCCGTTGTGGCCAACCGATGCTGTTGACGTTACCGCCTATGGCCTACATGACAAACTACTACCATGACTTTCAACTATAACCTCTATAACAAGTTGAGGCTACAACCACTGTCTATAGCATTCACAACGGACCACTATCTCCATAGCAATTAACTATCACCTTCACGGCTCATTATGACTATTATTGTTGAAATGTCATTGTACATCAAGTTTATAATTTTATATTCCATAATTCAGGAAAAAAAGGGTATGTGTACTCACCATTACACGTAAAAAATCAGGTGTCTCCTGCTACTCTTCTTTTATATGTGTGTGTTGGATTGTGGTACTATATTGAGACGTTAATTTATTTCTCTATCACTGCGGATCTTCCGACACATTATTTTGGCGTCGTCTGTAGGAAACCAAGTCTCGTTGGGTGTAGTCTTGAAGTCTAAAACGTCTTGTCCTTTGCTTCATTTTCCAATGATATACATCAAGATAATTTATGAAACATTCTTCAATGTGGGGGTAACCTTCATTGTAATCTCGAAAATTCATTCACGATAATGTCCCGGACACGATTATGGTGGCGTTAACTTATCGCATCTTATTCAAACACAAATTCTATGAAAATCACTTCTAGACTGGGGGGCAACCTTCACTGTAGTTTCAAAAGGTCGTTTACGCCAATGTCTCGGGCACGACAATCATCTCATGTTTCATCCAGACATCAAGTTTTTTAGAACCGCTTATAGATTAGGGGGCAACCTTCATCGCAAGCACTTCCTCAACCCCCCCCCCCCCCCCACATCATACTGGAATTTCTCTTCAATTGGATCATCAAGCTGATCTCTTCAATGTCTTCTATGCCCTACGTGGTTCGCAACTCATGCAGGTCCCAACTCCGGCCTCTACGGCCTACGGGCGTTATCACAGCTGACCAATATGACATATGTGACCAACTACGACCTCCATTGCTCACAGCTCATGCAACTGCCAACTCCAATCTCTGTGCAATACAGACGTTTTTTACAACTTCTTGCTAAGGCATATGCAATCAACTATGACCTACGTGACACAACTCACGCAGCTCCCAATTCCAACCTCTGCGGCCTACGACGTTCTCATGCTTACTACTGCGGCCTACGTAATCAATTATAACCTACGTGACTCACAACCATGCAACTCCTAACTCTGGCCTCGGCGGCTTACAAACATTATTACAACTCTCTACTACGGTCTAATTGATTAACTACGACTTACATGGCTCATACCTCATGCAGCTTCCAACCCCGACCTTTGCGGCCTACGAACACTATTGCAGCTCCCAACTACAACCATTGTGGTCAACCGACGCTCCTGAAGCGATCGCCTACGGTCCGCATGACCAACTACTATCACAGCTTTTCATGAGTAATGATTTTATTAAAATCTAATACACATGAGGTCTATTTATTATAAAAGAAAATTCACAAAACAAAAAAAAAAATTGTGATAAGGAAAATTTTAAGTTATCTAAATTTAATTGAATTCCATACAATGACTTATTCTATGTGTCAAAATATTTAATGAACATTCATGTTCTGAATTAGAATAAATAAACCATTAATTTTTCATTCACAGAACTGTCCATACTCAACAATTAGTTCCAATTTAATATTATAAAATAATGGTCTTCCCATATACACATCTAATCATGTACTTAAAGATTGTTATAACTATTCTATCAACTTTTCTTTGAAAAGTATGGATGGCCATAGCACACCGGTTATTGTTTGTTAGACTAAATGATGTTAATATTTATGGGATATATTGGAAGGCTTGAGATATGTTATACAATTTGTCAAGGGATCCACACAGTAACTTTTGGCAGATTTATGAGATTCATAGCATATTAAAACAAATAGCTTTTCTTATCGGTTAGGTGGTGAATAACAGTTTGGTTTATTAGAATACCCTATCTTATTAGTCAAGTGGTAAAGATTTTACTCTTTTGTTAGGTTGTTTTGTTTGCCTTGAAAAAATGTATGCTTATATGAAGGCAAGTAATGAATTTTATGGATATTATGTTATTTCATATTGATGAATGCATGTTCAGTCCATTGATGAAAAATGTTCTCTCCCTCTTCCAAGTAATGAGGCTTATATGAATCAATTGAATGAGCAAATGACTAATTTTTTACTTGATGGTGGAACCAAGTTATGTATGTCTATGGCCTTCGACATCTATACAATTTGTCAAGAGATCCATATAATAATTTTTAAGAGATTTATGAGATTCATTGCATATGAAGACAAATAGCATGTTAGGTGGTGAATAACAATTTTTTTTTTTTATTAGAGTATTCTATCTTGTTAGTCAAATGGTAAATATTTTACTCTTTTGTTAGGTGGGGTTTTCTTTGTTTTGAAAAAATGCATGCTTATGTATTTTATGGATATTATGTTATTTTATATTGATGAATGTATGTTTAGTCCATTGATGTAAAATGTTCTCTCCCTCTTCTAAGTCATGAGGCTTATATGAATTAATTAAATCAACAATTGATTAATATCAGTTTTATTTATGTCCGGGGCAGGTCACTATCTGCCCTGGATTTGAAATTTTTTTTATATAAATAATAAAATTTAATAGTTTTTTTTAATGTAATTAAGACAATTTAGTAATTTCACCCCCCTCTCCCGGGGACATATTTTTGTCTAATACTTCAAAATAATTAAACATTTGGCAATTTTGTCCACACTAAAAAATAAAGTTGGTTTCGCCCCTCGTTTTGTTTTGTTTATTTTATGGGACAATTACACTTATACCACACAATTCTTATGTATTTATTTACATGACTAACACTTGAACATTTTGTTTTTCTCGGTTCTTTTTAAAGCATTGGAGTCGCTCATTTGTCTATTTCTATGTCGTATAGTTCCCTTATTTGAATAAATCTCTCTCACATATCAATACAAATGATTCAAATAGAAGAAGAATCAAATAGAAAAGAAATACGAAAAGAGACAAATAATTAAAAAAAAACAAGCGAAAGGCTTATTGATAGATAATCCTCGTGTGATGGGTTGAGAATATACATCCAAACATGATCAGATCGAAGTACCTCAAAACACAACATTCACGAAAAAAAATCTCTATGTAAATCACATGTAACTAGAGAATCAAAAAGTACATTTTTGTTCTGGGGTCAAAAGTCTTCCAGAGAAATGTATCCCTCTGATTGATTACAATCTTGAGGGATACCCAATAATACGCTCAATAAAATGAGGTTTGCTTATATTATCATGAACCTCGAGAATAGATCATTAAAGGATGTTTATTTCAACCAGGACCACCTCACTGCCTCGAGAGCCCATACCGAAACACATGGGAGAGGATAAGTCCCTCAAATCCATAGGTGAAGGATGGCCTACAATAAGTGAGGCATGGAGGAATAATCAGGTCGACTTGACAGGAACATCCTTATGCTTCAAAGGTCACTGAATCGTGAGGGCGATTAGACCAAAGTGAGTAATTAGACCGGGACGACCGATCGAACCCAAAATAAGTTATCGACGCGGGGCGGTCGATCGAACCCAAAAGATTGGGCTATCGGGTCGGAGCGGCTGACTGAACCCGGAAAGTAGGTCGATTAAGTCAGGATGATTGATCGAACCCAAAGTGGGCGATCGACACTGGGAGATTGATTGAACCCATAAGATTGGGTGATCCCACTGGGACAGTCGATCGAGCCCAAAAACTAGGTCGATGGAGCCAGGACGGCCGATTGGACCCAAATTGGTTGATTGATGCGGGGTGACCGATCGAACCGAAAAGATTAGGCGATTGGGCCAAGGCTGTCGATCGAGCCTGAAAAGTAGGTCGATCGAGTCGGGACTATCAATCTGACCCAAGAGTGCGTGATCAAACCACTGTGGTCGATCAAACCTAAAAGATTATGTGATTGAGCTGGAGCGACTGATCAATCCCATAAAGTAGGTCGATCGAGCCACGACGGACAATAGGACCCAAAGTGATCGGTCGATCGCTGGTGTGACCAATCGAACTGAAGTAATCACGCAGAAAAGCACACAAAAATGCAAAAATGCCAACAAATGATCATGCATAATGCAATAGAAACCCAAGGGCGCTCGACGGCGTATTGAACTCTTCCTAACGACCTTGCGTAGGTTCTAGGGTTGAATTGATGGAAAGTGATGTTAACGGCGTATCACGCAAAGCAACTCGACGTTGTCATCCCTTTACCTGACATGGGGTGAAGAGTTGACTCTCGAGAACTTTTCGCAATAAAGCAAATGGAGACCAAAGGTGCGTCTCCATCTGTCTGATCCTTCGATTTCACTTTTCCATCAAGTGAAATTGTTGGAGCAAATTGTAAGGTCTCACAAAACCTCGTCTTTCATAGGATTTTGGTGTTAGGGCTCAAGGGGAACGCTCAGATTCATAGGGGGTGTCCTCGAATGCCTTTGTAGTCTAAAGGCTTTCTCTAAGCACAAGAAAACCTAGTCCTTAATCCTCAACACATCCAGACCTAGGGGCTCTAGGAAGAAAAATGCGAGAGTTTAAGTGTTTATACCGCCGTGGTGATTTTTTGATATCCGACAAAGTTCAGAAAGAAGCTTTCTTTAAAAGGAGAGAAGACGCCCATGTTTTTTCCCCCACGAATGACAAAGCTCTTCCCATAAGGAGATTTTGGCGGCGTCACGAACTCTGGCTAAGGTCCTTTTCCGAAGTATGAAGAAGTTCTACTCAAGGGGAGATTCCGACGAGGTGGCACACAAGAAATTCCTCTTTTCCTCTATCTTCTCCGGAGGAGTGATGGCCGGAAAAGCAAACGGTGAGGAAGGAGAAGAAAATAGAAGAAATAAGTAAAAGGAGGAAGATAAAAGTGAGAAGTCTCAAAACACTCATGAATCTATCCAAAATCCCTCCACAAGCTCCTCACAGCTCTCCTCCTCTCTAAAAATCTCCAAAATGATCCCATTACCAAATGGATGGCTCCCCCAATTATCCCTAGCAAAAGGGGTTTATACCATGATTAACTGGGAAAAAATGACCGCTTACCCCATATGGGAACATCCCAGGTGAGCACAGGTGCCAAAAGTGGCCTAGGACCAGTCCATGGCTTATTTCCAGCTGTCAGACAGCGTTCTGCTAGAAAAACATAGGCCATCTCGTGAAAAAACTTATACCGCCGCGAACGGGTTAGTGGGGTGGCCGCGCTCGAAGGCTAGCGTAATTACGCCACTTGCTCTTTTTGGTCGACTTGGCTACGTGGCCAAGGGCGTGGTCAAGCCGCGGGCCACATACCGAACAGGTTGTGGACGACCTAGCGTGCTCACTCACAAGACAGATGTGGCCGCTCCTTTTTTAGGGGTTTTACACCATGTTCGAACCTGTGAAAGCCTTTTCTTAGCGAAAATAATGTTCCGGACTCATCTGTGCTATCTGTTTTGCAATTTGGGGTCAGCAGAACAATGTTTTGCCGACGAGTAAGCCAAATCACAACCCGATTTGCCCGTACCGTTCCGAACGATATCCGTCAATCCAGTCGAAGCCGTCTGACGAATGTAATGCTGATCAGCTTTAGCCTTAGCGAAAATTAGACCCCCAGCAAAGTAATTTTTTACCACATGTCAGAGGATCGAAAACAGATGTCTTGAACCCTGGGAGGTTGTGCACGCATGAAGCATACTCCCTGGTCGTTCAAGCGGACACCCTACGCTCCTGACATCGAAATGATAATGTCAACACATTCATAAATACATGAATGTTACTCAAATCATTAACATCACATTAAATAATAATAATCATAACTACCTTTTTAAAATTAAGTGCATCTTTTTATGTATAAGTTTATAAAGACACTGAGGTGTTAGAAGTGTTAATATCAAACTTTAGATGCTAAATATGTAAATACATAAGGATTATGTGGTGTGCATGTAGATTTTATTTATTTTTTTATTAATTCACTTTTCTTTTGTTATCTATTATTAGTCTCTATAATAATCAAATTTGGGTTACCGGATTGAAATTTTTTTTTTTTTTTTTTGTTTCTTTTTTTGCCAAATTTTTGCTGCATTTTTTGAGCAAAACCACTCTCAACTATAAAAGATCAAATTTTCAATGGTACATTTTATAAATAGCGATCTTCCATATGCTATATATGTAATCATCGCAAAAATGGGGCATTTAACTTCTATCTCCTTCTCCAAACAGGAAACAAAAATGCAGGAAGAGCTCCTTTAGACTGGGAATCCAGACTAAAAATCATGCTAGGAACAGCAAAGGCTATAGCTCACTTACACGAAGAAGCTGGCGCAAAGTTCTCCCATGGCAACATAAGACCTTCGAACATCCTCGTCACCCCCGACCTCCATCCCTTCCTTTCAGACCACGGTGTTTCCCAGCTCATAAACTCTCCCACCATCCCCTCCCGATCATCCGCCGCCTATCTCGCCCCAGAGTTCATCGACACCCGCAAATTCACCCATCAGACCGACGTCTACAGCTTCGGCGTCGTGCTTCTCGAAATCCTGACCGGAAAATCTCCGATCTGCGCTCCCGGCCACGACGAGATCGTTGATTTTCCGCGGTGGGTGCAGTCTGTCGTTCGCGAGGAATGGACTGCGGAGGTGTTTGATGTCGAGCTTATGAGGTGCCCTAACAACGAGGAAGAAATGGTAGCGATGCTTCAGATCGGGTTGGCTTGTACTTCGAAGGATCCGCACCAGAGGCCGAGAATGCAGCAATTGGTGACGATGATTGAGGATCTCCGGCCGACGGAGTCCGACGATCGCCGCTCGCCTGATGATGGCCGGTTGAAGTGATTCCGATAGGGTTTCGTTTGGTAGGTGCAGTGGTGATGATATAGTGGTAAGGTGTTGGCGGTGATTTTCTAAGTATTTGGTATGTGGTTGTGAGATTGGTTCGGTGCATTTGAATTTAGAGCTAATTTGGATTTGATTCGAGTTGAGTTTGAAGTTAATTTCAGTTATGCTCTAAAAAATGAAAATTTAAAAATTCCTTATTTTAAATTTTTTTGAGCAAGCTCTAATCATTATTCCTGCAAATGATCCCAAAATCTTTACTTTTATATGTTTAAATTGGGGCATATTTAAGAACCAACATTTCATCGATTTTTCAAATTCACACTCCAATATCAAATTCATGGTAAAACCCAAACTCATAATTTTCATTTTTTTTATCAAATTCTCAATAGTTTGATCGTGTCACGCGTAAATACATCGGTTCAATAGTTTAAAAAATTCACTTTTGAATGATTAATTTGCAAAAGTTAATGTTTTAATTATCCCAATTTTTAATTACAATTTACTTTAAGCTCGATTTTGTTGTTTAAGTTTTACTTGTCTTACTGAAGGATATGTGTGGACTACAAATGGAGGACATTCGTGGACTACACTGATGCCGCTTGCCCGAAGGATAGCTACACCTTGCCTCGGGTTGAAGCGCTCATGGGCATGATAGTCAACTATTTTGTAATGAGCTTCCTCAACGCATTCATCGGCTACCAACTGATCAAAATGAATCTGATCGATACAGAAAAGACTACATTCACACACCGCTTCGCCTCTCTAGCTTGACCCCCGACCCCTCTTCTCTCGCACACTCATGCCACCGGCAAAAATATATGTGGAGGCCAGGCGACTCCATTCTGCGATCTCAGAGAAGGGAAACAACCAGCTTATCAACCGGGCTACAATTCTTTCCTTATATATAATTTTGACCCCCAATTATTAAATTAAGGAAAAAGGACACTTTTGTAATGTGGTACCGCTCACCTACCACATCTCACATACCGTTCACCTACCGCTCGTCTACCTCCCACCTACCACTCTCTTGCTTCTATAAATAGAGTGTGTGTGAGGCTTAAGAGAGCAAGGGAAGAGATCTTAAGCTACCACAGATGAGGAGAGAATAGCTAGAGAGGAGAACATCTTCAGGCATTGTATTAAGGTGTCGCTTGAGATGGAGGCCATGGAAGGAAGATGATGGCTCATCTCTATGTATAAGTTATGTACTCTCCATTTTTTTGTCTTAGTAAACTATTTGATCGATTCCCTCCTGTGGACGTAGATCCAGTTGAATCGAACCATGTAAACGATCTGTGTTTGCTTGTGTTTTTTGCGTTTCATTTCTATGACAGGAAGTACATCTCACAATAATATATATATATATATATATATAAGATTCGAATATTCGGTATGTTCCTATGACAAAATCAGCCTCACCTGAAAATAGGGGGATATTGATATGTCATCAAAATTATCCAAAACTCTGATTTTAGCAAACTTAAAGTAAAATTGACCGACTAAACGAGACAAAGTTGGTCCAATTCGAGTCAATTCATGTCCAAATCAAGCTATTAAGCAATTTTTGAAAATTTTGGGTGGTTAATTGGAAGGTCATATTAATTACAAATCTGACAAGCATAAAATAGAATTGAGCATCTCGATGAGACAAATCTAACAAGTCCAAGATCATTCAATTCCGACATTACCATGGCACTCAAATGTCTACAAATTATTGTCCAATCAAGGTTTCTCCCAAACTCGATAAATTGAGCTCGACCCCTTCAATAAAGGGGACCATACCTTGAAGTGGAGGATGCCCAACGTTTGAAGAAGAAATAAGTGAGGTCAAATGTTTTATTGAAGATCCAATGAGCACCACCTCCATCTGTTGTGGAACACGATCGACCACCGCCTTCCAGCCATCGTCGAACACAGTTAGACAACTCCTGCTCATTGAAACAGAACCCCTCATGGAATTAGGGCATACATTACAAAATCTCAGCGTAAGTTGTGGGGTAACGAAGCACCCGACAAAGCAATATATTGTCATGAATATTGTGCAACAACACACCCAAAAAATAGTGTAATGAATCACCCTAAAGAAGTTGTAATATTGCACAACGCACCCCACAAATGTTATAATGACACACCAATGACGGTGTAACAACACTCGCATATGTGTAACGTCATTCTCTCAATACGGATCATGACTAACATCGTATATCAAGGATCCGAAAACAACTCCCTGCAATAACTACTTACAAATGACGTACTCAGAATATAATGATCTTCTTCAAACATATGAAGTTTTGTCCTCATAATTCACAATTCATTGCAGCTCCTAACTCTGGCCTCTACAGTCTATGCACGTAATCGTAGCTCATAGATATGGCCTATGTTTCTGACTACAACTTACGTGGTCCACAAACCATGCAACTCCTAACTTCAGCCTCTGTGGCCTACAAACGTTAGTGTAGCTCACCACTATAGCTTATGTAATTAACTATAACCTACATTATCTACAGTTCATGCAACTCACAATTCTAGCATATGTGGCCTATAAACGTTATCACAGCTCACCACTATGAACTACATGACAAATAATAGCCTACGTGGTCAACGACTGATGTAGCTTCTAACTATGGCCTCTACAATCTAAAAATTTTATTACATCTCACCACGACAGCCTACGTGATTCACAGCTCACACAACTCCTTAATCTAGCCTCTACAACATGCAGACATTATTACAGCTCACTACTATGGTCTAGGTGGCTCGTAACTCATGCAACTCTCAACTCTAGCCTCTATAACCTAAGGACATTATTGCAGCTCAATACCACGACTTTTGTGACCAACTATGTTTTGGGTGGCTCACAACTCCTACATCCCCCTACTATGGCGTCTATGTTCAATCGACACTCCCGAAACAATTATATATGACCTTTATGGCAAACTACTATCTGACATTCAACCATGACGTATAAGATAAGGTGACGCTATAGCCATCACCTACAACATCCACGATAGGCTATTGTTTTCATAGAATATCATTGAGAGCTACATTCATTACAGCCTGATTATGGCTAATTAAAATGAACTACTATTGTATATCAACGATGTTCAACTTTATAACTTCATCTTCCTTAATTTAGGGGAGTTGACATATGTACTTACAATTATATAGTTGACTATTTTTATTGTGCTAACCCGTATGATTTTTTTCTCATTTTCAAGAATTCCCATGTAAAAACTTGAAGTGTCTCATTCTGCTTCTCTTTTATTATCTAAATTTGTGTTGGATTCTCTTACAATGCTAAGATTTTAAATAATCACTCTACTACCGTGAATTTTTTTCCGGCACACATTCAATAATATACACCTGATTATGATGACAAACTTTTGTTATGTACCAATAATTAACTTTTGGTGCTTTACACTCTGTGTCTACCATCCAAATTTGAGTTGAACCAGACATGATTTTGGCGGGTTAAATATCTTTTTTACTTAACTTTTTAAAAATTAAATGTACTTTTTTTTATATATACATTTATAGCACCATGATGATATAAATGTAAATATCAAACTTTAGATATTAGATATGTAAATCCATAAGAATGATATGGTACTAATGTAAATTTCCCAAAAACAAAACTAAAACGTGATAAGGGAAGGCTTGGAAAACAATAGAGGAGACAGAACTAATCTTTTCCTTATGTTTTACTTCATAACTTTACATTTAAAAAGTTAAATTTAACATGTTTTTTTCAAGCAAAATGTGCTCCAATATTTTGCACATTCATTAAAAATAAAATGAACAATCACAAAATATCGATTTTGAGCACTCACATTGCTCCAAAAAAACATGTTTTTATGAGCTAATAAATTGAACCGAGATTATTCAACTCAAAGAGTTTAAGCTCGCAAGTCATTTACTTAATAACCTTACAATTATCACCCTTAATTTGAGTTCGAGCTCGACATTGAGCACGAGCTTGAGTCTACAAGTTCGAACCGGCTCATCAGCTCGTTTATTTTTTATAAAAGATATAATAATATTAATTTAAGGTGCTGTTATAATAAAATTATAAATAGAATGAACAATTATGAGATAAATAATAAGAAACCAGTTAACATAAAATACAAAATATTATTTTTTAAACTATTTTCAATACCTTAAAAGATAAAATTTTCAAATTTAATATATTTTATATTAATATTTTCTTAATCGATTCAGCTCACAAGCTAATAAGTCTAGTTAGAGCTAGCCTGAACTTGACATGTTAGCTCATCAAGCTCAATTAACCAGCCACTTATCCAGCCAAGCTCGAACCGACTCACGAGTCGGCTTAACTCACTTACATCCCTAATCCCAACAACTGAAGGGCAGAGAAATTGATCTCCCTTGTCCAACCATTGCCACCACCCCTAATATTTAGTTTAATAAGATTTACATACATACCACTCAATTCTTATGTATCTATATATCTAACACCTAAATTTCAATTTTTACATATATATGCCACCTTATCCATACATGAATATGAACCACAGTGGAGAAGCATTAGAAACCTTTAAGAAAAAAATTAGGAACAATTACATACATACCACTCAATCCCCGACGTATTTACATATCTAACACCTAAACTTCAATTTTCATATCTATGAAACCTATGCTATAAATTAAAATGTGTATTTCACCTTCCAAAAGTTATAATAGTGGTATTTGGCATGTGATATGAAAGATTTGGGTGGTAGAATTGTAATAAAATTTTGGTGTTAGACATACAAATACATAGGAATTGGGTGTTCTGTATGTAAATGCTTCTCCAGATATGGTTTATTAAACAGCAATATTGGCAAACATAAAGCATCATTCCACCCAATCTAATGCCTTCTGTCATCAAAATTGTCTCTTCTGAAAAATCAGATAAATTTCTTCCTTCCATTAATTAACCCATATCAAAATAATAATATAAAAAATAGAACATTTACATAGATACCACACAATTCTTATATATTTACATACCTAATAATACTTAAACTTCTATACTTTTATGCACAGCACTCAAATCTTTCATCAACATAACTATCCTTTCAAAAGTGAATGTAACTTTTCATTACATTGGTTTAAGACACCAAAGTTCCATAAATACAAATGTCAACTTTAGGGGTTGAATATGTAAATGCATAAAAATCATGTGGTGTGTATGCAAACTTCTCCAAAAAAAACAAAATCTGCAAGTTCCAACTTCCAAATAACTTCAGCGATTTTCTTTCGGTTTTTCCTTGTCAACCAGATCTGAACCACTCACAAACCTAGCTACAAAGGAAATAAGTCGAAATGGAGCTCCTATTAGAGGAGCATCAGAAAGAGGAACTACAGGCTCTGTTTCTATCTTCTCAGCTGCAGGCTTCAACTCCACAATAATGTCATCCAATGGGACTGAAACCACATCTGCACTTATTCTAGAATCATCCAATCCAAGACCTTGTAATTGTCGTAATTGCGCCACAGACCCCAAGTCCTCGGCGCCATTTACATTAAGATTCTCGTTGGGCTTTGTTTTGGTCTTGATTGTTTCGTTAAATTTGAGTGTGCTTTTGGGAAACACTGATGCATGATCAGTAGATGAGTGCTTCATGGTATTTTCACTAGGGAGATTGTCAGCAGTCCCAACAAGATAAGATGCCTGATCCATGAAAAATTTGACATAAAAATAGTATTATCCATTATACTTATTTATTTATTTAATTTTTAGTAGTCTTAAAAGTTAATAAAAATGTTAAATTAGTCCTGATACTATTTTATTTTAAGGGGGGCTAAAATCGTCCCTATGGAGAACTATTACAACCAATATTAAAAAAATTTGGACTAAACTGACACTTTTATAAACTCTGGAACTAAAATGAACCCCTGCAAAGAGTCGGGGATCATTTTGACACTTTTTCTCATATTTGTAGAAGGAAATAGCAATGTAACATTAATGGCATAACGAAATCTAAGAAAAAGCCCAGGGAATTGCGAATTTACCTTCTCCGAACCTTCGTCGTTCAGTATATCTGGCTTCATTGAAGCTTCGACGGATTTTGGAGTCCATTTTTCCTCGACATGGATCTAATTATAAGTTCTTCGAAATTAGGCCAGAAAAACTACCATACAGTAATAATGATTTTAATGCTATAGACAGGTTGATGATTGACAAAGCTTTCATTACAAAGAAAAATAGTCAAGCTACAAAAAATATTTAGAAAATGGAAATCAGCAGGCATTGATTTTGAGAGCCGTTTGTTAGCAAGCAAATTTATAAAATACATGTCAGAACAAAACTTCAGTTGGTACAGCATCTACATACCTCATCACTAATGCCAAAAGGGAGGCAACCAGGAGTTTTTATTTTATTTTAGGGCCAATTTGGCATCAATATTTTTTTCTTTTGTTCTTAAAAAATGTGCTTGTTTATTGTGTTTTTTGCATGTTTTAATTTCTATTTTTAAAAGGAAATCGACTTATTTTTAAAACTACTTAAAATAACTTTTATGTGATTTGATTGTTTTTAAAAATAGGAAATCAAATATGTTTTATTTCAAATCAAAACATTAACAAAATAAAATAAAAATGAATAATAAAAGTGATCCCAAAGGGCCCTAGTTGGTGTTATGTTATAGGAGTTACCTCGTTTTTTTAGAAGTTCTAAGTTTTAGTTTAACCAAGTTTTATTCATTTCTGTCATGATCACTACAAGAATGAGTTGTGTTCTCTGATATTCTAACGGCTACTTCCATCAGATTTGGCTGCTTCTCTAATCCATCAAATTATATAAATCCATCCATTTTACCATTTCACCACATGCCCTTCCTTATTTTTTTTTCTCTATTCCCATTGTGTTCTCTATTTTCTTTATTTATTTAATTATTTTTCGTTCATTTAATTGCTTCAGCCTCTAAATTGTTGCTGAGTAAAGACTTAGCCTGCTGATTAGGTTCCTGTAGCAAGGCGCCATCTGCAGCTCTTTGTGTGCTTTGCTGTTTGCAGCCATTATTACAAAGTATTATTTGTTGTAATTAACATTGTCCAATTTTAACAATTTGCAGGATGAATCACAAAAAAACTATTTAAGGCTCTATAATCATAATATAATAAAGTCGAGCTAAGCTCATACTTAAGGTAAGCAAGCATGAATCTAAACCAACCAAATTTGAAGACCATCACAAAAGCTCAAATCGAGCTCCAGTTGAGCTCAAATAAACTTCTGGAAAAAAAGCCATTTCCGAACAACCACTGTATCAGTTCGGTTCATTTGCAATTATAGGCTTGAATTCCTGATTTTGGTGATTTGTTTTCATGTTCATTTTTTATTCTACATTTTAAATTATTTTCATGTGTGGGAATGAATTTGATCGAATTTCATAAAATTAAGAGTTTATTATCGCAGTGTGATGTCCAATCAGTGTTTCTTAATCTTAATTTTTTATGCAAAAGTTACATTAGACAATCATTAAATCATTATCCATGCAATTTTTCTTTACTTTATAGTGTTACAAAAAAACTAAAATTTTAAATTAACGATATGTGAACTACAAATTTTGATAGCATGCGAATTATTTTCGTGCCTCATATCATGTATTAGGGAAGTCTAGCCTATGAGATATACTAAATCAATGGAGAATTCCCTAATATGAAAAAGGAAGGACATTGGTAATTTCCTGCAGATAAGCATCTTCAATATTTTTTTGCTTGTTTTTATCTAAATAAAATTTACAAATTTGTACAATTCATGTCAATGCTTCTTTGATGAAAATCCTTGCGAGGGAAAAAGGAGTTGAATGGGCTCATCAGCAGGACAAGTTTCGACAACAGACAGATAAATAAAACCACCACCATATCAAAGGTTAGGTAAAGGGGCATTTACATGCATACCAACCAATTCCTATGCATTTGCATATCTAACACCTCAACCCTTTTTTTTACATTTATAACACCTAATTTTTTTAAACACATCAGAATAACCATTATTCGAACTTTTAGAAAGTGAAATATGCATTTTCATGATAGGTAAGGTGGCATATATGTAAAAATTGAAGTTTAGATGTTAGATATGTAAATACATAAGGATTGAGTGATAGGTATGTAAATCTTCCATTTAAATAATAGTTGAATTAATAATGAATGCCTGCTTATAACTACGAACAGTGAGAAATCACTTAAATTCGTACCTCGGAAGAAGCGTAGAGAGAGGCAGCCACCTCGAGGTGCTGTATGCGAGACTCCAACGTTGACATGTTATCAGTCAGCTGTTTATTTTCTTGAGCAAGGCTGTCTCTAGAATCTTCGAGCTCCTTTACCTGTCAAACTTTGTAATTTAACAGTAACATCAGAAACATAAGCATTAAAATATTTGAGTGATATTTTTCTAACAGTTTGGGAATTTTAAGATCGAGTTTTTCCCCCTTATCCTGAGTCCTTCTCAATTTCTGGCTTGCACAGATCGGAATTAAAATGAGGGGCATACATACCATGCAATTATTATGTATTTACATATCTCAAACCTGAAATATTTACACAACACTCAAATCTTTAATTTAAATAAAAAATAGCACTATTAAGACTTTTTAAAAGTCAAATAAACCTTTTTATGCATAAATAGAATGCACAAAGTGCTACTTATAAAAATATGAATGTTTAGGTGTTAAATATGTAAGTTCATAAGAATTGAATGCTATGAATGTAAATGCCTCTTAAAATAAATGATTGTCAGCAGATAGTCACATTTCCAAATCATATATGATTGATTGAAGGAGTGCTAAAATTGAGAATGTCAAGATCTACGTTCCCGGGTTCCCTTATCTTCACACAACACAGGATCAGAGAGATGATATTCCAACTAGATCGGACGCCGTTAGACCACATCAAGATTTATGTCAAGCCTCTGAAGTCTGATTAAGTAACATCTTCTCAGCGTTATTTTGAATGCATAAATTCAATCAATCAATCAAAATCATCCCAAAAACATCAGTTTTAAAGCCAAAAAAAAAAAAAAAGAGCTAATGACCAAACTAAAATCTACAACCTCACTACTCTTGAGGCCTAGGGCCTCATGGATCCATCATCATCAGCAAAAGATCCTAAAATTCGCATAGCTCGGTTCTCCACTCCATGCCCTCAGCCAAGAAGCATTTGGTTCAATAAGTGTCTAGAAGACGAGAGGGACCAACTATCCACTCTATGCTTCCCTATGATAAAGCATGCTTTTAATTTAATCCCTTATAAATACATCTTATGGAGGTAAGGTAACATTCATCCTCACACCCTTCTCTAAAAAGAGGAGAGCTTTCGTCTGGGATCTCGCTCTATTATTCTAAAGGAGATATTGAGTTAGTCATAGATCTTGTTCACCTTCAAGCCCAACCATTATCTTGAATGTTAGAAAATATTTCTAGGAGAAAATCCACGGTTAGGTATGTTAAGCTCCCAATTTTGTTGGTCATATGCAAAGCACATATTGGGCTCAAGACCCATCTACCCAAAATTTTTTATGGCATTCAATGCCTTTCCCTCTCTTAAATGTAAGAGATCCAACCAAGCAAACGAGACGGGTGAGTAAGACTTGAGTTGGGTGATATCATAGCTAAAAATCTAAAAAACTGACTGACAATCTTCTCAAAAACGGGGTCGCCAATCAACACATAAAAATCTGACCCAAAAAGGGCGCAAAAAAACATTAAAAAAAAATCAAGAGAGTATAAACAGTGATTCCCTAAAATTGTATTTTATATATTTTTGAGTCTCTCATTCTTATTGCAGCTTCGTTTCCAAGAAGTAAGAAACTCGGGCGCTTCATGTATGACAAAATATCGGAGTCCTTGCCTGATCGAACATACCGTCGTCGGAGTCACGCCAGCAATCTACTCCCACACTGGTCGGCCACCCTTGGCTAGCCACCCCCTACTAACCAGACGACCACCCTTGTTCAGCCACCCACATCCAACTGGTTGGCCACTTTGGGACAGCAACCTACATCCAAACAGACGACCAACCCCATTCAACCGACAGACCACTTATGGTCGGCCACCTCCTATGATCAGTCTGCCACCCTTGTCCAGCCACAGGAATCCAATGAGCCCCGCCGATCAAAAAGTTCTAGAACGGCAGATCTAAGCGAGAAAAGGACAAAAATAATCTGTATTGTCCTCCTTAAAGCAAGAGTAAAGATGTAATATTGTATTTCCCCTTTTGTATCTTCTATAAATAGAGGAACCAATGCATGAATTAAGGATCTTTGGGCTCTCCTCTCTCAACCACTCATGTCTCTCCCCTTCCCTCTTTTGAAATTACTTTTTTCCTTTTTCAGTGAAATAATAGCGAGCCAAAGAGTCGGGGAACATCCCTCTTCGCCCCTACCGGGGTAAATCTCTCTCTTTCTTTCTCTCTCCCTCAGTCCTTACATTCTATGCCTTGGGCATAGTCTACCTGACAAATCTAATTTCAACCTTTGGTGCAGTGAATGTGACTCATGTTGCCAACAAGAAGAAGAACACACACCAAGGAGGATAAAAACCTAAATAGAGAAAAAAAAAATAAAAAAGTAGACATAAAAAATCATCCTTCACACTCAAAGCATCCAAAAACTTGTCTATAACTTGACTCGGAAAAACCTCAGGAGATGGATTCCTACCGAGTAGCGACAAGCTCTGCGAATGGTACGATACAAATCACCCCAGTAGTGAGTCTCGTTAGCTACCCCCGTGAAGGCAATGACGCATATTCGTTTAAGAATTGGCGATAGGTGCTGCCCGGCTGAGGATCCAACCGAGCAAATGAGACGGGCGATAAGTAAAACTTGAGTTGTGTGATATCATATCTAAAAATCTAAAAACCAGCCGACGATCTTCTCAAATATCGGGTTTCCAATCAACACATCAAAAACTGACTCAAAAAGAGCGCAAAAAAACTAACAAAAAAATAGGAGAGTATAACTAGTGATCCTCTGAAATTATTTTTTTGTATTTTTGAATCTCTCATTCTTATTGTAGTTTTTCTTCCAAGAAGTAAGAGACTTAGGAGCTTCATGTATGACAGAAAATATTGAAGTCCTCGCCAGGCCAAACCTCGGCCAGCAATCTACGCCCCCGCTGGCCGACCATCCTCTTTCAACCGATCGACCCACTTATGGTCGGCCACCACAAACAACCGGCTGACCGCCGCATGGGCGGACACCACAAACAACCGGGCCGCATGGTCGACCACCTCCTATGACCAATCAGCCACAGAAATCCAACAAGCTCCGCCGACCAAAATGTTCCAGAATGATGGATCAGAGCGAGGAAAAGACAAAAATAACTTGTAATGCCCCTTTAAAGCAAAGGTAAATATGTAATATTGTATTTCCCCCTTTTTTATCTTCTATAAATAGAGGAGCCAAGGCGTGTATTAAGAATCTTTGGGCTCTCCTCTCTCAACCCCTCATGTCTCTCCCCTTCCCTCTTTTGAAATTACTTTTTTCAGTAAAATGAAAGGGGCCAAAGAGCCCAGGAACATCCTTCATCGCCCCTACGGGGAAAATCTCTCTCTTTCTTTCTCTCTCCCTTGGCCTTTAAGCTCTATGCTTTGGGCGCGGTCTAATTTCAACTATGATAACTCTTATAATACAGTAGCCGTTAATCCTCATCTTCTAGTATCAAAAATACTTGATTGAACTTACTAATCTTCACATTTCGTCCTCAATGGACATTAGTCTCACTTAATCTGATAAAAATTGTTTTAAAGGTTATCAATGCACAAAAACAATGATGAAAATGTGTTTTAAAAACTTGGAAAACTCAACATATAATACACCTTTTATGTTATTAACTTATCGATGTCCATGGCGCATAAAATAATAATTCTAATATATTAAAAGTGTATATCATAACTTTTTTCTAATACTCTATCATTTAAATATTGGAAGAGAATAATAAAGTACCAAAAAACAAATAAAGTAATAGCAGAAAATGCATAAAAATTTGATAATTAAATTATCAATTCAAAGCAATAGGATATTTTGCCACCACGTTTTCTTTTACGCTGAACTTGCTTACCACCTATCAGGCACTCCTACAACATCACCTCACTAGCACCAAAACCACCATGCTCACACTACTAATAAAATTTAATTTTATAACGAGGTAAGTCAGCAAAACTGAAATGAATAATTGATAACTGATTTGAAGTTTGCCCATAATAATAATAATTGCAGCAAATTTTTGAAGTTGTTTTTACCGAAGAATGAAAGGTAATTCATAATATTAGTATTTATCCATTAAACCATCCATTTTGAATGTTATATTTATATGCTCATTCTGCCCAGCAAGAACTGGTTCCACAAGATTGACAATCTTCAAATGGAGACCAAATTGCAGACATGCTAAAGAGGGAAGGGGAGACTTCCCCACTTATATATCCATGGAGACTAATTGAGGCTATGTGAAGCTTCGGTTTCTCTGTTGTACTCATATTTCTTAGTGTGTCAATTTGCGTCCTCATATGCTTTAATTTTATTCAACAGTAAAAAGCATATTCCAACAATACGACACATATTGCAGGTTGGGTGCTGAAAAAAATTATTAAATCAACACAGCAAAAATAATGAAACCGGGTGAGTGATACTCTCTTCTCAATTCCCTTAAAAGGACAATCATGATTCAATTCTTTCCTAGTAAACCCGGCATAACTCTTTAGTTTTGGAACTATAAATCCTTAAACGTATGCTTATAGGCTAATATATCTTGAATTTCCAGGAACTTGCCAATTTCCATAGAATGGCTCACATTTCTTTCATGAATAAAATAAACTTTAATAGAGTAAAAGGAAAACGCTAAACTATAAGTTATAACGTCAAAAATATAAATAAAAAAGCATACTTCGCATAGCAAAAAAAAATAAGAAACTAGTACCAGAGTTGTATTCATAAGTCAAATAACATGACAACCAGAAAATCATAAATAAATAATTGAAGGAAAAAGAAGTGTTGTAAAACTGGCGCCTTCATCGAATATACCTGCAATTGCAACCCTTCATTAGCATCACCCAATCTAGACACCACTTCTTTGATTGAACTCTGCAGGTAGGCATTGCAATTATAATCTATTACTCAATTATCTTAATTAGTAAACTCTTTTATAACGCATTAACAACAAAGAAGAAAAGCTAGCACACACACTCTGCCTTAGAGAAACTTTTAGCCGCCTCATCCATTTTAAAATATGATATAATAAAGACTAAACAAGCTGTAATTTATTATTATACAGAGATCCATGTGAGAGTCAAGGATGGTCCTATGTCAGAAGTCAAATAAAGAAGGGTTGAGTTCTTAAAAATACTCATAATGGTTCTTCACCATTTGCTTGAGCTTTTACTTGATGGGCATCCATCTATCAGTTTATTCCGCACAACCTGGCAGCCCAGTGTTCAAACTCCTAATAAATAGAATCATAGTTGATGATTCGGCCAGAATCAAGTGCTCCGTATGTTTGTAGTTTTTTGGGTTTTGGCCTCTTCTATCATAATTGAACAACCTTTGAGAGCAAACAAATCATAGAGTCTCCATGAGTTAAGTTTTTATTTCATGATATTTTATATACTTGAGTGGGCTCTAAGTGAATGATGCTATGTGGTGTTAAAAAAATACCATTCAAGTCGGAGAGATGGCTCTTGGTGCATAATATTTAATGGTGTTGAAATGCTTCCATTTGTGAGGGGAGTGATGGCCAACGAGAAGAACCATCATAGGGGGGAAAGATTGTTAAGATTCAAAGTTGAGAATAGTCACTCATCAAAAGTAATGCATTCCTAGTATACCAGTAGTGACCCTTGCCCATTAGGTAGAAGAGAAACTTATAGAACTATCACACTTATGTACCAATCTCAGCTAGAATGGCTTTTCTAATCCAAATGTAAGAAAGAAGCCAATGAATATAACACGCCTAACCTCTTTCTGAATGCAAGAGTCCATTTCATGTTGAAGCAATTTTATTCTTTCCTCCAATCTACCCTGCAAATTATTATAAAGCTTCAATGGGAAAATACAAACGGTCAAGTGTAGAGAAAATCTAGCAATGCAAGACCAAATACAAAATAAAATCCAATGGCATAGATTTCACGTGATAAATAATGACAATGACCCGCCGAAGAATAAAAAAGCCATATATCAACTAATCATTAAACTCAACAAACTTAATGGCTTCTAACACGGAAAAAATAGAATTGGCAAATTATCGACAAATTGCATATTGGCACTTTCTACAACCATATATTCTTTTCAACGCTCCAAATATTGATAGGTTCCTTGTATGGAGTTAAAATCTTGCCTTTATGCATCTCTATGGATCGAATATCATTTCAATTTTTTTGGTTCAATTTTTAAAGTACATTACTATATTTCACATAACTCTCTTCCAATTTTTGTTTAGCTTCTCATTTAGAAATTTCTCAAGAAAATATTTTCATCTTCCTTGAAGATATCACCTCAACATCGACCAAATTTCTATTTTCATCACCTTCATTGTATCTAACTTGAACAAATCATTAGATCACTTATTTATAATCTTAATTAGTACATAAATCTTAATTTCTCATCCCTTAGTGACAGACCTATCATAAAAATTATCAAAAATTATAGCTTATGTTTTATTCACTATCCTCTTTGTAAGATTTCTAACTTATAATCATTATAAGCCACATTAATATTTAATTTGTGCCACCATTTAAACCTCACAGTATTCAATCATTTGAAACATATAAAAAAAAAATGCAAGTAAGCTCTAGGAATTTAGAGCAACTCTTTCAAGAAATATTGCATCATTTAAAAAAAAAGGTACCAAAATCCATGAGGAATATAACCTGTTTATTTGAACAGGTAATAAAAATAATGCAAAATTTGCATAATAGTATCTCACCGTCAGCACAGCACTTTTACTTTGTAGATCATCCATTTTTTCCTCTAATCTAGCCTGCAAAAGTTACAAGAAAAAATATTTATCTAGGTATATATATATATATATATATTAAAGGAAATCGGTATTTGGCAGAGGCCCAGATACCGATTTCCCACGTGCTAGGCCCCATGATGAGAACCCCGCCATGTGCCTAAATATTCGAGAATGCAGCGCCACTGGGGATCGAACTCATGACCTGAGGGGACTCACACACACACAAATATATATATATATATATATATATATATATATATTAAAGGAAATCAGTATTTGGCAGAGGCCCAGATACCGATTTCCCACGCGCTAGGCCCCATGATGAGAACCTCCGTCATGTGCCTAAATATTCGAGAATGCAGCGCCACTGGGGATCGAACCCACGACCTGAGGGGACTCACACACACACAGATATATATATATATATATATATATATAACTCATAGAACTATCCCGTTTATGTGCCGATGCAGCTAAAATGACTTTCTTACTCAAATGTAAGAAATTTTTTAATGAATATAACATGTCTAACCTCCTTCTGAATGCAAGAGTTTAGTTCATTTTGAAGGAGTTTTATTCTTTCCTCAAAGCTACCCTGCAATTTCTTATAAAGCTTCAGAATATACAATTGGTCAAGTGAAGAGAAAATCCAGCAATGCAAGACCAAATACAAATAAAATAAAATAAACTAGTGCCAGAGATTACACAAGATAAATAGTGCAAATGATCAGATACCGAATCATAGAAAAAATGCATATCAAAACATATTATACTGTCCATAAATTAAACTCAAACTTATGGATATCTAACATGGAAAAAATAGAATTCACAAGTTCTAAATCAAAAAATTTGCTAACTACCTCTTTCTGTGACCATATGTTCTTTTCAACTCTAAGTATGTTTATTTCTTCTTGCAAGTCAAACTGCAGGGTAAATATAAGATAAAATATTAATCCATGCTGATGATTACTTAAAATCCTCATCAGAATAAATAACTATTCCAGCAATAATATGTCAATCAGGATAAATAAAAAATAAATAAATAAGAAGAAAAAATAAGAGGAAGTCATGGAAAAAGTTTGACTTTATTTTTTTTTCTTTTTTTCTTTTTTTTTTTTTTTGGCTTCAAAGAAAGTGCTTGTGAAAACAATATCCCTACCTTGACATAACCAAAATTCTGACTGCCGAAGTCAAAGCTACCACTTTGGAGCATGTTTATCTTTTATTTTTTGTTGTGTGTTTTTCTTTTATTTTGTGCATACTTTAATTTGAAACAAAATAAATTTGTAATGTTGAAAATAAATAAATTATTTTTAAAGACATTCAAAACAATTAAAATTTATTTTGAGTGTTCTAAAAACTAAAAACAAAAATACATGAAAAGAACACCAAACAAACGTACTTTTAAATATTAAAGCAAAAACATAAACAAAATTGATCCCAAACAAGCCCTAAACCTAGTAGGTTTTTTACACATAGCTTTACATCATATAAGAATTTTCATGTGAATTTAATATGAGCAATGGATGCTAGAAATGATTAGATTTGCTCGAAATGGAAGTGGAAGATAAGCCTAAAGGTACTGCATATGCTGGAAAAGGATTTAATTCATAACTATATGCTTTTAGGGAAATTTACATACCACACAATTCTTGTGTATTTACACATCTAACACCAAAAGTTTGATATTTACATTTATAACACGTTGGTGTTAAGACTTATGCATGAAAATATAATTTAGCTATAAAAAAGTTAGTAATAGCGATGTTTATGTTGTGATGTCAAAAATTTGAGTGTCGTCTAGATAAATATGAAAGTTTAGGTGGTAGATATGGATATATATAAGAATTGTGTAAATGCCCTGCTTTTATCTGTACTGCATGTTCTGAAGTTTTACATTGAGAAATTGGTATGATCTACATAGATACATCAAATATTAACTATCTATTTTAGGCTAAAATCTTACACATTTTGCTTCAAGGTTTTTACGTTTCTCCTGGTCCACTTCTGATTCTGAAACTCCAACAATTGGACTGTCTGCATTACATGGAGCCTCGCTGTAATGGTTCAGCACTGGGGCAGCATCACGATGATCATCTGGCAAAAAGTCTGCGTTGGATAAAGAGACATCCGATTTGGTTTGATTAAAATCTGCACTGAATATGGAACCACTGACATTGCTGTGGTTTCCTTTCTTCTTCTTGCCTTTCTTCTTTTTTCCATCCATTTACTCCAGTCGCAAGTTTAGAAAATTTGAGAATCTCTACTCTTTCTCTGCCTGAAACAACAGATATGTCTATCCGATCAATGGGAGAGTTGCAGAAAGAAACAGAAACGACTGAGAGGACTGAGATCTATTAATAAGATCTAGAAAAACAAAATTTGCAGCAAAACAAGAATCACCGGCTCAATACAAATAACCGGATGCCAGGAATCGCATACGATGCAAATATTTGATCATTTACATTCCTATTGATAAAAATAGCTACATGGCGATCATTTTCGCCGGACATGCTCGTAAGCTATCCTACGAACATCAAGTGTAGCATTGAGCGAATAAAATTCTAGATGATCAACGCAAAGTCGTGAACACGCAATGAGCAGTGTGGTTGATGTCGAGCGCAGATAAGGATCAGAGAAAAGGCTTACCATGAACGGTCACTCTTCAGATCTAAGATCAATGCCTGCGAGATGACGGACAGAACCATTTGAAAAGGCAAGCAAGGTAAGAAACAGAAAGCCTAGGGGAATTACCTCCATAGCACTAAAAAAAATATATTTACAAAACTAACAGCCTCTTTCATCCAATTTTTTTATTCTCGCTCAAATATCGAAATTCGCCCTAATATATATATATATATATATATATTTCTTTTATTTGTGCTAGAAAATTCACGGCGATAGAATAATGAATTATCGTCTTAGCATTGCACGAGGATTCAACATACTACAAAGCCAAAAAAGAGAAGCATTATGAGATACTTCAACTTTTTACGTGCAAAACACGTAAATATAAAAAAAATCACTGGGTCTAGCCTATTTGAAATAATACAAGCTATAAATGATGAGTACACATGTTCATTATTCTCCTAAATTAGGGAAGATAAATTATGAAGTTGTATAACTATAATCTGATTTTAGTTCTATGTGACAATAGGTTGCAAGGGTCATTGTTGATTGTTGTGGAACTAGTAGTCCGTTGTGAGTGTTGTAGATGGTTGTTTCAGAAACGTTAATTGGTTAAAGAAGTCATTATAAGCATTTGCAAGAGCTTTAAATCACATGGGTCATAGTTGGTGTGTAGACCGTAGTGGTGATGTCCACAAACCGTGGGAATCGGATTCAGGTGTTCCATGAGTTGTGAACTGTGTAGGCCGTAGGGACGAGTATGAATGACGTCCGTAGTTCGCGGGGGCCAGAGTCGGGAGCTGTACAAGCTGCGAATCTCGTAGGTTGTTAGTAAGAGTATGAGCGACATCTGTAAGCCGCGGGGGTCGGAGTCGGGAGTTGCATGAGCTGTGAATCACGTAGGTCGTTGGGGCGAGTATGAACGTCTTCCGTAGGCTACAGGGGTCGGAGTCAGAAGTTGCACGAGTTGTAAACCACGTAGGTCGTTGGGGCGAGTATCAATGACGTTCATAAGCCGCGGGGTGGGGGGGGTGTGGGGGCGGCGGATTGAGGGTTGCACCAGCTGTGAACCACGTAGGTCGTTGGTTGAATATGAATGACGTTAGTAGGTCGTGGGGGTCGTAGTCGGGAACTGCACAAATTGTGAACCATGTAGGCAGCTGGGGCGAGTATAAATGACATTCGGAGGCCACGGGGAGCCGGAGTCAGGATCTGCAAGTGCTTTGACCACGTAGGTTGTTGTTGGCATATGGACCGTGGCGATGAGCTCTTATCTCACAAACGGGAAAAGGTTTATAGATATTTCGAGTTATAGTATTGACTGGCGACGTTCGGTTGGTGGTGGTCTACGGCGGCCTACAGTGGTCGATGAAGAAAAGCGATGGTTGACGATAGTTGGCGGTGATCGACGTCGGTCAGCGGTGATGCTAAACTGCAGCCTCTCCTCAATACCTCGGGCTCTCTCTCTAGTTTTCAGCTCCTCCCTCATGAGAAGGGTAGGAGTCTATTTATAGTATTATGGATGTCATTAATACATAAATATGAAGCATTTTGATTGGATAGTTAAGGGAGTTTCTCACGAACATACAACATTTAATGGGCATTTGACTGTCATAATAATTTCAGAGTTGAGTGGTCTTGGGCCTGTTGGATTCTCCATGTGAGACGCTCGATCCAAGTATAGGTTTGCTAGTGTCAGTATCTATTTGACATTCCCAATATATATATAAATCTTCAAAAAGTGATTTAATGACTTGATCTAGCCTTATTTTGACTTAAATTTCACTATTTTTTATATCATTAGGTTTGTCTCATCCAGTCAGTTAGTTTGACCATAAGTTTGCTGAAATCAAACCTCTAGATGACTTTTAATTGAAGTTTAAATATTTCTTGTTCCAAAGATTGCATCGAGATTTATGTAGGGTGATGAAAATTTCTTGGTGTCACATCAGTTGCCCTCATATTTTCGGACGAGATCATCTTTGTCGTTCGAAAATATCAAGACCTGGAGTATTTGTTTTATTAATGTATTACATATAAAGATATATATAAAGATCATTTGGATTATTATAAGTATAATTTATGTATGGATATAATTAAGTAACTGAGCATGATGCCACAAATACCTCCACATGCGTAAAGAAACTATTTTTTTATATATATAGTTGAAATTAATTTCATGTGGAATATGACGAGATTTTTTATTTTTAATGATTGAAATTAATTTCATAAGAAATATGAATATATATATATATATATATATATATATATAT